ATTGTTGCAGCCAACAGCAATACAAAGGTGGAAGGGGATAGATATTCTGTGTCCCTGGGGCTCCTGTAATAAATATTGAGACAGCAGGTACCTTTTCCGCTTAGAAACTGTCTGCAACTTCTAGATTTTATCTAATTTGGGGAAGAACCTGACTCCTGAAGCAGGAGTTAGATTTCCCCCAAGTTAGTTTAACCCAGCATAAAGCGACATTAAGCAGCTTTACACTGGGTAAATTCAGTTCAGTCCCATGGGGCTGATAACTTTCTAAACCAGTGGTTCCCACTCTTTGAGTCTCCAGATGTTTTGGCCTTCAACTCCCAGAAATCCAAACAGCTGGAAATCTGGCTGGGATTTTTGGGAGTTGTAGACCAAAACACTTGGAGACCCACAAGTTGATAACCACCATTCTAAACCAAACCACATAGTCAGTATAGATGGGGCCCTTCTAAAAGTTATCTGTTCGATTTTGAAGGCTTCCCTCAACTATAGTAGATAAGTAATCTCAAAGCACCATTACTATGGAGCCATGGAATGAAGCTGCTACAACAATGAAGTGTAATGTTATGTGAAATATTAATTCTCGAAGAGCCAGAACTTGCATATATGTTGCTTGTGAAATCTAGTCTAAAATATAACTACAGGCAAATGTGAAGGAATCTTCCTGCTGTGCATTATATAATGTGATTTGAAAAAGTCCTGAGTTGATTTTGGTAAAACATAAAAACTTTTCAATCAATATTCACCCATCCATATGATGATCTGGTCATGATGGTCTATTGTTTTGTTAGTGGTATAATTTCCATGGTATTCCTAGCTTTCCAGGAGTTATTATTAGAGAGTTATGAATCATAATAAAATTATGATAGAGTTAAAATCAAATGAAAACTAGATTAAGAGCTGTTCCAGAATAGCCATCTGAGTTAAAACAAATATGTTGAATTTAAAAATCAACGTATTAGAAATGCTTTTTGTGTGCGTGTGTCTGGTAGATGTGAAAAAAGAAACTTTCCTAAGATAAAAATTATCAGCTCATTTCAGAAAGCCTTTTTAAATTTAATAATGCCAACTGTATCATCTATAGATCACCTTTTTGTTATCTTTTTGTTATCTTTTTGTTATCTTTTTGTTATCATATATAGATCACCTTTTTGTTAAACATGTATTTTTGTATGCAACTAGGTAGTGTCTATCTGTTTAGGATATGTCATTAATACCACAGTAACCTAAAATGACATAATGTGTCCTAAAATGATATTCCTGTTCCAGGCAGCCTCACCCTCTACCCATTAATAACAGCTTCAGAAAAAGTATTGTGTACTCAGCCTTGGAAATGGAGTGAAGCATGGAAAATGGAAGAATGGATTATTATGATTGCTGAATTGGCCCAAGTGGCCAAATAGACATGGGTTCTATTTTAATGAAGAAGCCAAATTAAAACTATTTGAAAGTTTGGAAAACACTTAGAGATTTGTTTGAACAATAAGAAATATAATGATGCAATAATATGTAACTATGGTTATTATGAGTAATTTTAGCAGGATTATTTAGTTGGATTTGTCATTGTAAATTTTTATTTTGACTTTTCATTACAATCAAGATTATAGGATCAGAGTCTTTTGATGCATTACCGGTAGTTATCTATATTTGTTTCTTTTCCCTTTTTATTTTTTCTCTTTTTCTTCTGTCTCTTTATTTTTTGGATATATAGTACTTTGATTGTAATTTTTTATGTATTAGATTTTTTAAAAAAACAAACATTGACTTACCCTAAATAGATTTGATTAAATTACATTACAATTTAGAATAAATCTAGAATTCCTTCTGTATTCAATCATGAAAAAGCATACAGAAAAGAACGTTAACAGAAAATTTAATAAATATTGAGGTCAGTTGAATAATAATAATAATAATAATAATAATCTTTATTTGTATCCCGCCACCATCTCCCCAAAGGGGACTCAGAGCGGCTTACATGGGGCCAAGCCCAAACAAAAATTACAATATAACAATACAAATTACAATCGAATAAACAACATAACAGTAAAATATAAAACATCAAAGCATATAAAACAATATACACAAAACATAAGAACTAAGCATAATGGCAGACAAACAAAGGGCGGGCCGCATGTACATAAAATGATTTAAAAACTCAGGGTGAGTTAAGGTGGGAGTACTAATTGTAAGGGCGAACTCATAGAGAGATAGGAAATTAAGCCAACCATCTCGTCTCAAAATTGTTCCATACTAAAAGAATTATTTATTTATTTGCAGTATATGTATACTGCCCTTCTCAACCCCAAAGAGGACTCAGAGCGGTTCACAGTGTTGGCAACAAGTAGGAGGGATTTGCAGCTTTGGTAGGAGCTCCCTTCTTTTTAGAGGGATTTGCACTTTACAATGCACTAAAGGTGTCTTTTGATACAGCTGGGTCCATAGGTTTTGGGATAGACACCTGGCTTCAGCTGAACCCACTTCACATTCCTCCCCCCTCTTGCTCCATTCAGTTCCAATTAACTTAAGTAAGATACAGGCAAAACAAAGTATTAAACCTGATTTAACCCAATGTTCTGTGTCTCATCTCATTATTGTATAATGGGTCATCAACGTAATAAAATCCCCTTTGGAATATAGAATGGAAGGGTAAATTCCATGTGGAGGTTTTTAGAAGGAAATGTCTGTGTGGAATACATTGCAGCCACTTTTTTTTTATTATGTCAGCTGTCGCCCTCTCCAATAACTCTGTGGTTCTAAACATGAATGTTAATGCCTTTAATTATATATAAAACCTTTGAGAATTTCATTTGCCCAGAAAAATATCATGGAAGGTTTTACGGAAGGTAAGTATTTATACACATGATCTAAACTGGAGTAAACTATTCTCTAACAGATCTCATTGTCTCCACTGCCTTTTATGAAGGAAACAGATCATCAGAAGTGGACTGGAGAGTGTGAAAGAGGAGGTTACTGGAGACAACATAAGGAGTTTTGGTAATATTATTTTTTTTAATCAAGCGTAGGTCACATTATTTGGCAACGTTAACTTTGAAGCCACAGGGAAATTGTCTTTCTCCTTTTCTTACTCCTATTTTACTTCACCTTCCTCTCTTTTACTTTATGTAATTAATACATAAATGTGTTATTTTCAAATGGCCGAGAATGACAGTTGAATCCAACTGATATCTATTTGCAAAGAGAGAGAGTTACAGAAACATGTGCATTGCTGATGTTGAGAGCAACATGATGGTTGTCATATAGATCTGTGCATACTTGTAGCCAGAGGGTAAACAGTATGTAGACATTCCATAACTCACCAGTTTTTTCTAACATCTAGATTAGCCAGTCAGCAAATTCCTTTAAAAAAAATTAAACAAATATTGTAGTTGGTTTCTTGATCAGTTCTTGGAGTAAGAAGCAAGGTTGGTTCCAGCAGTTCAGCTTTTTGCAGCTTGGCAAATATTTAAATGAAAGAATTCCTGCTCGTATTATCCAACTATTATTCCTCCCTTTCTATGACCAGCATTCAAGTGTGAAAGATACATATTTAAACATAGTAAAGTCATGAAACAGGAACTTTAACTCCAGTTCCATATTGTCTTACATGGCAGAAAACCTCATTCACAATAAAAGGAACTTCTGATATGACTTGTATAGGATACCACAACTGAAATACTGAAATACAGCCATGATGAAAAGTGAAGTTAAAGGTATTTATCTGCTCCACGAATACTGAAGTGTAGACAGATAACAGTGGAAACTGAAATTAAGATATAGTAATAGAAACATCTGCCTCTTCTCTCAGCATATCCTGCCACAGATATTATGCACATCAATAACTAGTAAATCAAATTTACATTTTTCAATATTGCAGAAATACAGCTGAAAACCTATTCAACCCAAATTTTCAACCCTTCAGATATTGAATTTCAAGCAAATATTTACGTATATGGTTTCTGCATATTTCTAGCCAGAGAATAAAAAATATTCATATGTTCTTTGACCCACAAGCTTCGTTAAGTAACCATCCTGTTAGTGTATCAATAACTTTGAATTTCCCCCCAGTATTTTAAATAATTATTAAGGAGTTAAAGTTTATCCACCTCTAATTTATGTTCATATCAAGCATCCAAGACTAGATACTAGCACTACATATTAGATCATAAAACAGGAATTTAGATTGCAATCTATAATCATTTAGAATTATGATTTCTATATTTTTACAATGAAACACTAAAATGAAGATAGAAAAGATACTGAAATGTATACAGGCAGCCCCCAAGTTATGAACAAGAGAGGTTCTGTAGGTTTATTCTTAAGTTGAAGTTGCATGTACAATAAGTTGGAACACGTACATTTTTAAGTGTAATCACAGCCATACACACACACGCACACACACTTTGGATAGCATAGGGAAGGGTCAACAGTAATACCCATGTGGTGTTTGTTTTGCCGCCTGTGTCTCTTTTCAGAAGATTTCACCTCACTTTCTGTCCATGTGAAACTGGATTTTGAAAAAATTGACTTGTTGTGGAAACAAGGATTGGTGATGAAGCTTCCGTTCAGACACATTTTCCCCATGAGAACTCTTCCAGGAGTGAATTTCCCTTCCTAGGGATAGATTTTTCTCACCCTCCTTCTAAACTATGAGTGATTTGTAAATTGAGTGTTTATAAATTGGGGACTGCCTGTATATCTGTTTACCCCATGAGTACTGTCTGATGATAATTTACTTTTCTTTTACATACCTCACTAATGACATTTCTACATATCTATTCTTCCCAGGCACTGCAAGAAAATTAACAACAATGTCAACATTGCAAAGTCTACACATGAAGAAACCGATGGTTGGGCCAGTAGATGCATAGATACGAAATGTCATACTTGGACAAAGATTTCAGATATCTGGGTATCAGCCTGATATGATGTGTTGGGCACAACGTTGATTTCTTTTATCATTATGCATTGCCTCGTACAACGTCCTGCTTACACAGATTGAAGAGATGTTAAATCACTCTTCCATGGAAAATCAAATAGTGATGACTGAATTTATTCTTTTTGGACTTTCCAGTAATCCGCAAGTGCTATTGTTTCTCTTTTTTCTGTTTCTAGTTATATATGCTGCCACATTGTTAGCAAATGTTATGATTATAGTGGTAATAAAAGAAGAGCCAACCCTTCAAACCCCCATGTTTTTCTTTCTCAAAATACTAGCCTTGATTGACATTTGCTACTCATCTGTCACTGTTCCAAAGATGCTGGAAAATTTTGTATCAAAGGAGAAATCCATTTCTTTGGTGGGATGTTATGCACAGATCTTCTTCTTTATCCATTTTGCTTGTGATGAAATTTTTCTGCTCACTGCCATGTCATATGATCGCTATGTTGCTATCTGTGACCCTCTTCATTATTCAACAATTATGAACAAACAGATGTGTCAACTGCTAGTGGTTGCAACCTTTGTAATGGGATTCTTGGATGGTGCAGTCAACACAGCGCCTTTACTAAATGTGACCTTCTGTGGAGTCAATACAATTTGCCATTACACATGTGACCTTCCTGCAGTTTTGAGTTTGTCTTGCAGTGCAACCTTCATCAATTTTACAGTGATTTCTGTCTCTGTTTTCCCCTTTGGTTTTATACCTTTCCTCTTAACTCTCGTCTTTTACATTAGAATCATTTCAACCATTCTAAAAATACCCTCCACAAAAGGAAAGAGCAAAGCCTTCTCCACTTGTAGTTCTCACCTTATTGTGATATGTCTGTTTTATTTTTCTGCTTTTGTCCAATACTTAAAGCCAAGTTCAAAGTCTCTGTCAGACCTGGAAAGAGTGGCCTCTATCCAATACCTTATTTTAACTCCTCTGTTAAATCCTCTAATATACAGTTTTAAAAACAGTGAAATGAAAAAAGGTATTTGGAAAAAGTTTGTAAAATGTATGTAAAACTACAATACCTATATGCATGTAGTGATATAAATGATACTCCCATAAGATACATATGAATAAATTGTAGTTGGTTATTGTTAAAGGAGGAATAATATACTGTGCCTTAGGGCACATCCAGACAGCCCTTTATCCCAGGGGAATCTGCATTTCAAAAATGCAGATTTTCTTGGGGGCTTGTCTGCACCCACCTCAGAAAGCGTGTGCTTTCTGGAGTGGGGGTCCAGATGTTCTACTCCCCCCCCAAGCCCCCAGACCCCTTAGAAAAGTAATGAAAACTTATCTGGCCTCTATTACAGACTTCGACCAGCTCTCCCGGCATGTAGAAATGATGTGGCCGGGGGGGGGGGAGGAGCAATTGGCCCAGTAAACTCTGGAAATACTGACACTGGAAATAGTGGGTTTAAGATGTGGAATAAACTAATTAATTAACTACAAACCAGTGTTTTCCTGGTTTGTAGTGAATTAATTCAGGACTGTCCAGAATGTTGTCTGGACAGCCCCTCCTTTATTGTAGATAACACAATAAAGGTACTTTCTGGATGGGTCCTTAAATTTAAAGGAACTGAAGCAGAACTGAAAAGAACTGACTAATGCAGAACCATACAGCCCATCCACCTGCAGGTGAAGTAATCTATAAGCAAATCATTCATCTCAGGTCTTCCAACTATTAATTTTAAATCCCCAGTGAAGAAATTCCATGGTATTCCAAGGGGGTCTATTCCAATGTTCAACTATTAGCCACCAAAAGTCATCTTATTTTAACTATGTAAGTGGGCATTAGGGAAAGAACTTAATTTGTGTCAAGCTAATACAAGTGTCCTACTACAGAACTTGTCAGCCACACTTGGCCAAAGAACCTGAGTCCCTGTTTGCTTACCCAGTCAGCTCGTAATGTTTGTAATGCCTTTCCAGGCATGCCTTCTTATTTATTTGCTTTATTTTTATACCGCATTTTTCAGCCTAAATCGGCGACTCAATGCGGTTTACAATGCAATTTATATAACAATAACAATTAGTTAAAACACAACATACACGACAGACAATACAAGACAAAACAACGTGGTCATCAACGCCTCAGTAAAAATCAGATTCCGTTCTCATAATCCTTCTACCATTCCTTTGTTCATTTATACCGTCTTCATGAGTTCAGTTGCCTTGTTGACCGAACGCCTGTTCATAGAGCCACGTCTTGACCTTCCTCCGGAACTCCAGCAACGAAGGGGCCTGCCTGATGTCTACGGGTAGGGCATTCCATAGCCGAGGGGCCACCACCGAGAAGGCCCTGTCTCTCGTCCCCGCCAGCCGCGCCTGCGACGCAGGCGGGACCGAGAGCAGGGCCTCCCCGGACGATCTTAACGTCCTCGTCGGTTCATAGGTTTACTCTATAATTGTACTTAAAGAAGAAATGTGTGCAGGAGAGGAACAAGATATAACCCTCTCCTACCTCTTTCACCAAATAGTGCCATCTAAGTGCTTACTAAACTTCATTCTGCTTTGTCTTTCCCGATACCGGCTTAGTGGCATCTTATTTAAAGGCACTTAAATAAATACACACACTGTACCCTGCCCCCCCGACACAAAAAACCTCCAGGAAAACTGAGTAAATCTATGTCAGAAGTAACCAGATATATTTGCAATGCACTAGATGTAGGAAGATGGACCAGATATTTTCCAGGTTTAAAAGTATAGCACAAGAGTGGTTGGCACTTAATTGCCCAGGGGAGCTCTAAGGAATAGCCTCTCACATCCATCTTAAGCACCAGAACCATAGGGGTAATTCAGGAGACCCTTCCCAGCCTTCACCAAATGGTGTCAGTGAGTGATTAACAGGTGGGATTCTACCTCCCACCCCACTACTAACTTAGTAATATCCTTTTTAAGGGGAATAGCCTATAGCAGTCTCTGAGTTCCCCATAGATACAGTGTAGGGTATGTCAAAAGTGGAAAATGTGGGAAAAGGAAGTTGAAAATATACAAAGTCAGTTCCTTCTTTCCTCTTACCCCACTTCCAAAGTGCACGTTTGCTTGGAATTTGGGTCTCTACATGTACATGAAAACAAGGGCTATAGATAAAGAAAAAGAAAAAACGCAAAATTTGTATGTATGTTGTATGTACATAAGGTTGTTCCACAATGGCTTCTACATAGCTTGATGGATACAGCCCAAACTAGATACATGTATCCCTCATTTTCCAACTTGACATACTGGTGAGATTTAAAGTAGAGAAATCCATTACCTTTGTTTGTTTCCTTACTTTAAAAACAACATACTTTGCTGGCCCATGAGCCTCACACTGCAGTGCTCAGATCCAACTACATGAGGGCAGTAGAGAGTTGCATAGGTACATTTTAAGGGAGACTCTCACAGGCCCCTTCTACACTGCCATACAGTCCAGGTTATTAAAGCAGATAATCCACATTATCTACTTTGAACTGGATTATATGAGTCTACATTGCCAAACCAGATAATCTGGATTTTATATGACAGTGTAGAAGGGGAGACAGAAGGCCTAAGGAAAGAAATATTAGCAGGATACAGTTTAGGAAACTTCAGAGTTGCTATTGAGACAGTTTTGAGACCTGATTTGCTTGCTAAAGGTCTTCAGTAGAGAAGGAGGAGTGCTTTTCTTTGATTTATTTTTTCTTTCCCACTCACTTCTGTTATTCTAAACATAGAATGTTAATGTGTTTGGTTACATATGGAAGCTCTTGAGAGTTTCATTCATTCAGGAAAACATATCCTGAGAGATTTTATAGAAGGTGCATGTATATGTAATTTTCCTGAGTCCTTTTGCCAGGCTGAGAAGAGACTTCTTTCAGATATTTTGTAAAGTCAACGGAATAGCTGAAATGGTTCAATAGCAGGTAAAGAGACTAACAAGAATATTTTACAGACAGGCTTATGGAGACAGCATGAACAGTACAGGTAGTAACAGTTCTTTGTACTTTTTTCAAAAGGAGGCTAATATTTGGTGAATTTAATATACTGCACAAAAAGGTAGTGGGACAGAAATTTATATTGGTCTAACTGAACCAATATGAACCAGAAAACTCTCCAGAAACTTGCCTCCTCTTCTTAGTTCTCCGTTTTCTCACCTATGCTTTCTTATTTTTATTATTTTTCATGTTAAGACTAATTATTTTAAATCATCTAATTTACAGTGGCTAACAGGGTTTCTGCATTTATCCTACATTGCTAAATATTTAAGTGGATTAATTCTAGCTCTCTTTATTTGGCTACCTGTGTCCGTCTTTGACTACCATTCCTATCACCAACACTCAAGTATCCTAGAAATATATCTAATCATAATTACCACATGATACAGCACCCAGACCACAATTCTATTCTGATTTGCTGAGTAGAATGCTTCATTTACATTATTAGAACTCTCTTCTGAGTAAATAAGCAGAACATTTTTCAACACAATACTGACATAGATACAGCAGAAACACACACACACACACACACACACAATATTCTCTCTGTTTCATTAATGCTGTTCTGGGCTTCTGCCATGAATTATGTATTGGGTGCATATTCTTGCTAGGTGACATAGGAGGTGTGTGTGTGTGTGTGTGTATGCGTGCACACATTTGCATATCTATTTTAAAAAGGAAAAAAGTAGGATTAATAGAAATATGGGAACATGGACTTAACACTTACATAGAGTGAAATTTGCAGCACTGGAAAAAGTATTGCTACATTTTCCTTGTTTTAGATTACACCAAAAGAATGTTTGAGAGACTCAAATTCCAACCCACCCCTCAGTAGCAATACTAATACTAATACTAATAATAATAATAATAATAATAATAATAATAATAATAATTCATGGAAATTATTTCTCTAGCTCCTTTTTCACCTCTTTTTTCTGATTGATATGTTGAAAGTATCTAGTGCAGGTTAAGTATTCCTTATCCAGAACAATATATTTCTTGATTATTGCCTCCTAATAATTGGATTCTCCATGAAATTTATCACAAATAACATCCTTTCTGGATTGCAAGTCAATATGTTTATTAATGACTTGCATGAAGTTTATAGGAAATGCTTGTCAAGTTTGTAGATGACAACAAATTCAGGGAATAGCTAATACTCCAGAGGACAGGATCAGAATTCAAAGTGATGTTAACAGATTAGAAAGCTGGGCAAAAAATAACAAAATGAATTTCAACAAGGACAAATGTAAGATACAACACTTAGGCAGAAAAAAATGAAAGGCAAAGATACAGGATGTGTGATGTCTGGCTCGACAACATTACTAGTGAAAACGATCTTGTAGTCTTATAACGGAATATAGTAACTTTATTGTAATTGAACATAATACAACAAAATTAAATGCCATCCCCAATCCATATTGTATATATGTATAGAATTATAAAAATAAATCACCCATCCTCCCACATTCTAATCAGCATTGCACAACCTCTTATATCACATCAGTGTGAAACTATAGAGTTCAATGTAGTCACAGTTCTGGGATAGTAGTCTAGACAATAAGTTGAACATAAGTCAGCAATGTGATGCAGCAGCCTAAAAAACCAATGGGATTTGGGGCTGCATCAAATGGAGTATAGTGTCTAAATCCGGGGAAGTCATGTTGCCTCTCTATTCGGCTTTGGTCAAACCTTACCTGAAATATTGTGTCTGCTTCTGAGCACTCCAGTTCAAAAGAGGTATAGACAAGCTGAATTCCCTTGGGGAAATAGGGGGGAATACAAATAAAGTTACTACTACTACTACTACTACTACTACTATTAATATCCAGAGGAGAGTGGCTAAAATGATCAAAGGTCTGCAGACTATGCCCTATGAAGAAAGTTGGATATGTTTAGCCTGCAGAAGAGAAGCTTGAGAGGAGCCATTTACAAATATTTGAAAGGATGTCATAAGGAAGAGAGAGCAGGCTTGTTTTCTGCTGTTCTGGAGACTAGAACTCAGAGCAATGGGTTCAAATTACAGGAAAGGAGATTCCACATAAACATGAGAAAGAACTTCCTGATATAAAAGCTGTTCAACATTGGAACTCTCTGTCTTGGAGTGTGGTGGAAGCTTATTCCTTGGAGGTTTTAAAACAGAGGCTGAATGGTCATCTGTCGGGGATAATTTAACTGTGCTTTTCATGCATGGCAGGGGGTTAGACTAGATGGCCCATGTGGTCTCTTCCAATTCTTCGATTCTATGATTCTAGGCATTACACAAATATAAAAATTATACAGATTCTATATATGTGTGTCTTTTCCCCCGACAGGAAGAAAAATATGATCAAATCAGTGGACCATGCAAACTTCACAGTAATATTGGACAAATATTTCATCTGAATAGCAGAAAGCAAATATAAACTATAAATGTAATGAAACTGAATGTGTGTAACTATATTTCTGAATCATTGGTTTTGTTGTTGTATGCCTTCGAGTTTTTTTTTTAGTGACCCTGAGAGAATTATTTGGCAGAATTGATTCAGAACTTGCCATTGCCTCCTCTGAACCTGTGAGAGTGTGACTTGTCCAAGGTAACCCAGTTGGGTTCCATGTCCGAGCAGGGATTTGGCTTCATGGAAAATCAAACTGTGATAACAGAGTTTATTCTCTTAGGACTTTCCAATGATCCACAAGTGCAGTTGCTGTTCTTCTTTGTGTTTCTAATAATATACACTGCCACATTATTAGGAAACTCAATGATTATGTTGATAATCAGGACAGAGCCTAGCTTTCACACCCCTATGTTTTTCTTTCTCAAAAATCTGGCCTTGGTTGATATCTGTTACTCATCTGTCACAGTCCCAAAGATGCTAGAAAATTTTGTAGGAAGGTCAAAATCCATGCCTGTAGTGGGATGTACTGTACAGATCTTTTTCTTTATCTATTTTGCTTGTACGGAAGTTTCTCTGCTTGCTGCCATGTCGTATGATCGCTACGTTGCTATCTGTGACCCACTTCATTATTCGACAATTATGAACAAACAAATGTGTCGTCAGCTGATGGCAGGCACGTTTATTATGGGCTTCTTGGATGCTATGGTCAATACAGCACCTTTAATGAACTTGACCTTCTGCGGACACAACAGAATCAACCACTACACCTGTGACCTTCCTGCAATTTTGAATTTGTCTTGCAGTGAAACGTTCATCAATTATATAGTAATCATTGTCTCTGGATTTTTCTTTGGTGTTATTCCTTGCCTCTTAACTCTTCTGTCTTATGTAAGAATAATTTCAACTATCCTGAAAATTCACTCTACTAAAGGCAGGAGCAAAGCCTTCTCCACCTGTAGTTCTCACCTTATTGTGGTTTGTCTGTTTTATTTTTCAACTTTTTTCCGACATATGAAGCTAAGTTCTCTCTCTCCTTCAGATCTGGATAGAGTGATCTCTATCCAGTATCTTATTTTAACTCCTCTCTTAAACCCTATTATATACTGTCTCAAAAACAATGAAATTAAAGCCATTATTTGGAGAAGGTTGGGAAAGCATGGATAAAACTGCTTAATGATGTCTTTTGAAATATCATATAATTTGGAAGTCTTGCAATGTATTGCAACAATCAACTCCCCAAAAGATTCAAATAGCAAAGGAAAGCCTTCCCAAAATGTAGTTCTCACTTCATTGTGGATTTTAGAAGCTTTTTTTTTTGCATGTCAGGATCAACTTGAGAAAGTCGCTTCTGGTGTGAGAGAATTGACTGTCTGCAAGGACGTTGACCAGTGGATGCCCGGATGTTTTGCCATCCTGTCTGAACACATTCTCCCCTACAAGCCATCAAGGGTGTTAAGATCTTCTGGAGAGGCCCTGCTCTCGGTCCTGCAACCGTCGCGCGTCTGGTGGGGACGAGAGACAGGGCCTTCTCTGTGGTGCCCCCCCCCGGCTCTGGAACTCTCTCCCAAATGAAATTAGATCTGCCACCTCCCTCCTGACCTTTAGGAAACAGGTGAAATAATGGCTTTGGAATGAGGCATTCCCAGAATAATGGCGGAGACTGGAAACTGATTAATGTATTGACCACGAAGTGCTGATTGAGTCAGACATTGTTGGCAAACTGGTTTTATATGTATGTTATTTTATTGTATTTTTATCCATTGTTATGTATGATGTTTAAATGGTTTTATTTGTTAGCATTGAATCCTTGCTGTGAACCATCCTCAGTCCCTCTACAGAGGTTAGAGAAGAACGGTATATAAAAGTTTTAAATAGATAATAATAAATAATCCTGTAGAAGGCTTCCCTCATGTCCCTGCATGAGAAGCTGGAACTGACAGATAGGAATTCACCCAGCTCCCCGGATTTGAACCGCCGACCTTTTGGTCAGCAGTCCAGCAAACACAAGGGTTTAACCCATTGCACCACCAAGGGCCCGATTTAGAAGCTGTAGACAACATTAGAAAGTAATTGGAAGAGTAAACAAGTATTCTAATGCTTAGAAGGAAAAAATAAAGCACATTAATTATGAATACTAGAAACATATATATTGAAATTGGATGACTTTTTATACTAAATAGTTAAATAATATAGATTATATGAGGTCCATAATAACTATATAGATCTTTGTTACTGCTTAATTAAGTTCAGTTAAGAATTAAAAGAATCTATGTTATCTATATTTAATGTTGGAATTGATTACTATACATGCAAGATGAATTTCTGCAGCCTTTATCTATATCTTAATGAAAAATGTTTATTTATTTATTTATCTATTTATTTATTTATTTATCGTGTCAGGGGCAGACCAAACAGTTGCATTTCATTTTTTAACAAACAAACAAACAAAACACAAAGTTTACAAGCTTGGTAGTTGATTAAATGTCCTTTGAGCAGTATCTGGCCACTTGGAGTGCCTCTGGTGTCGCTGCAAGAAGATCCTCCATTGTGCATGTGGCAGGGCTCAGGTTGCATTGCAGCAGGTGGTCTATGGTTTGCTTTTCTCCACACTCACATGACATGACATGGCATGACATGAGAGAAGCCTCCTTGCAGGATTACAAGACATCCGGGCGTCCCCTGGGCAACGTCTTCATAGACAGCTGATTCTCTCACTCCAGAAGCGACCAGAAGCGACTTGCAGCATGCAAAAATGCTAATGAATGTAGCTCACTTTTTCATGGATCTGACTTTTCCTACGAGATGTTTATTTACTTTTCGATATCTTTACCTCTGTCAGAATGTAATTTTTCCCTTTTCTCTCATGTTATTTATAAATTTAAATAAAAAGAGAAAGAAATCATATTGAAGCTCTTTAAACATGTACAGTGAACAAGGGTTAGATAGAATACTGTATCAATGCAGAAGAAAATGGAATCTTTCAGTAGAAGACATATACTGTAGTTCTTCTCATTTATGATAGATCTTCTAATGCAGGATGTCTGCCATAAATGGAGCAAGAAGAGGAGAAAAAGTGGTATTCTAAAACCTAAAAAAAAAAATATTGAATTTGTTCAGTATCCTCATTGCAAGAATAGAATTGTATCCAGATATCAGGTGTAATAGTTTAACAGAACTGGAGAACTTTGGGAAGTACTTGTTTGACATTGCTACCTTTCTTTCCCTCTATTGATCCTCTTCTCGTGCCTTCACAACCAACTTGATAAACATGCTAACTGTGTGGTTATAACAGCTGATTAAGGCTATGCTGAAATTTAAATGGATGGAAAGGTAGGTGCTTCAGAAAACCCCACGTTGAAGCAGTACTAGAGACAAGTGCTATCTTCTCAGGTATGACCACATGCCTATCACTCCTTACTGACTAACCTCAAAGCAAGAAAAACATCAAATTGCTATCCTTTTCTCTTTGCAAGGGAGGAGGGGCAATCATAAAAGCAGCCACAATCAATTTGCAAAGGGAGGCTGGCAAAACTTTTAAATTATCCCCCTGGAAACCGGGACTCAGTGCAATGGATTCAAATTACAGGAAAGGATATTTCACCTGAACATTAGGAAGAACTTACTAATCGTAAGAACTGTTTAGCAGTGGAACTCTCTACCTGGGAGTGTGGTAGAAGCTCCTTCATTGGAAGCTTTTAAACAGAAGTTGGATGGCCATCTGTCAGGGGTACTTTGATTATGCTTTTTCTGCATAAGATGGTCCATGTGGCATCTTCCAACTCTATGATTCTATGATTCTATAATCAGCACTCATTGGCAGAGAAGGCCAAAGACCTTGTCAAACTACAACTCCCAAGATTCCATAGCATTGAGAAATGACAGTTAAAGTGCCTTCAAACTTCATTAATTTTACAGTATAGGTGTATTCTCTACAATCCCCATACATGGCTTTCTGAAAGTTTCTTGCTTGGGTATACCTCCATGATCCACACCATTTTTAAAATTTTGCCTTTGGATATATTCATAATTGTAATGTCTATTAAAGAATGGGATATCTAAATTAGCAAATTGATGGATATTTAATCATGCTAAATTTCCATAATGCATATGTTTTGGAGTAGTTACTTTTTTGCATGAATAAATTTGCTACTGGAAAGCCCAGAGATGTACATGTTATTTTGAATTATTTACCAATTTTTTGAAAATTAACAGGTGGCTAATAGAAGAGATTTTCATGCTGTTTGACTGCTAAAATATATTTCTTCACTGGAAAGGCATTTTGATCTACCAGCAATCCAGTGGATGGAAGATCTAATAAAACCTGCAATAGTTGAAGGAATGGTGTATAGATGAAATTTATAAATGAACTCATATTAAAAAATACCAGTATTTGTTCAGCTTTCGCAGAAATGTATGACTAATGTAGTTCTTTTTCCATCTTTTGTGTTTGTATTTTTGTTATTGTGAAATGGTATTTTATGTAACTATACATTAAAATGTTTTCTTTTTACTGTTTTGATGTTAGTCTTCACTCTTAGGCCAATACCTTGTGTGGACAACATACCAGCATAAGGGACTTTCCTCCCTCTGTGCAGCTGGAGGAGGAAGGAGATTTGCCTCCTCCCCAGAACATGAGGCAGGAAATAGTTCTGGCAGGAACTACTTTAAAAGGGGCAGAGGTGACCTAAGGTGACCCATCAGCTGACCCATCAGCCAGCCCCATTTCTTCATAGTGTTCCTGATCTTTGACACACCACACCCACCCATTAACAGTATAATTTATTGATTGCCTCAAGGGGACCAGATTGGAATTTCCCCCTCCTATGTTCTAGGAGGGTTTTTCACTTACCCTATATTGTATGTTCTAGGAGGGTTTTTCACTTACCCTATATCCAAAATTGGGATGGTGTGATTTTTAAATAGGCCTCAACAGAAAACATCTAGGGGAATCTACACCCAAGGCACCCTCCTTTGGTGTACACTCAAGGCACCCCCCTTTGGGGTGAAGACCATTAAGTAAAACACTCCCCTGTCGTTCATTTAGATGAGGTGAGGTCATACCAAATGGCCTAGGAATGGGGAAAGTCTGGTCTCAACAACTTTGAATGAGACTTCTCTGGCGCATTTCCCTAAAAGGTTGCTCAGGTTAGGTCAACAGGGGACCCAGGTGTTTCACCCTAATTAGCTGAGGGGTAGGCCAGGCAAGATTGCTATCTTGGCTTTTTCCACACCAAGTTCATGACAACCATAGAATTAGATTTAGTTACTAAGTTAAATAGGTAACAGTTAATAAAAGTTGTCCATATTTTCAACTCATAACTGTTGTGTGGACTCATTATTTCGGGGGTTGGCAGTCAAACACCTTTATGGAGTAGATATAATATTTCAGAAGTTGCATAAGTGTGGTCTATAGTGTAACCAACCATTCTGCAAATATACAGCTGGCCCTCTCTCACAGTTTGACTTTGGCAACAGATTTGACTAGTTTGCAGTGGATCTTATAATTCCTACTTAAAACATTAATCAAAATGTGAAACTGAAAGCATTATAATGCCACATCAACATTTTTTAATCGCAAAAACATGATTTTAGTAATAATTTTCCTCCTCTGTAAATGTGCAAAATTGCCCCGAAGGCAATGCTATTGGAATGGTACATAAATATTTCAAATAAATAAATGGATACAATTAAACAAAAAAGCTCCAAAAATACTGTATAGGAATCACCATCATTCAGATTATACCTCAAAGGTCTTTCTCCCAATGGACCTATCACTATATTTATAGGAAGATTCTAAAGCTGCTTATTTGCTATGGTCTGAAAAGTATATCTTCTAGTTTACTATCAGCTGTTTAGTCTCTAATGATCAGATTAATAGAAGATATTTGGCAGTGATGCTTGCCAGATGAGAAAGAAAAAGAAATGATTCCATCTATGTCATAAGAAGAAAGAAGAAACACAACCAAGAAGAAGTAAAGATAAATAAGATCAAAGGTACATATTAAATTTGATTTCAAATTATTTTATCTCCAGTCTTACATTTATGAGAAATAATTTTAGATTTTCAGATGCATGCAAACCTATTCAGTATTAAGCTTTTATTTGGATGATCATTGCAGAGTATGACATAAGAGTTAAAGAAGGAAAGAATAGTAACACAGATCTTAATATGTGCACATCTTTGTATCTTCTTTTCAAATAAAAGAACGATTCATATAGAGCTTCATTAAACTGGGAATGGACCATGATCAGGATTAGGACTAAAATTACAATGGGAGCCCTGTTTGATCCCATGAAACAGGATCAAACAGGATTCCCATAGTAATTTTAATCCTAATCCTGATCATGGTCCATCCCCAGTTTAATAAATTCTATATGAATCGATATCAGGTACAGTTCAAGATATCAGGTACAGTTTAGTTTCTTCATCCTCAGTAAATTTTAGTTCTAGACATCTTCACTGCCATCACTAACACATTGGATATAGCTAGCTGGAAGATCACTGAGATCATTAGAAACCACTGCCTATATAATGAGATTGCGCAGAAAAATTAAAAAAACACAACTAAGACTCAGCACAAACAAATGATCTCAGTAAAACAGGAAATTTGAATGTGGATATTCTTGATCTTCAAACAGTGCTGGACCCCCAAACAGTATTGACCACACTGAGTTAGCTGGGAACAGAAGTTCAAAAATAATAGCAGAGCCACCCCACCCAAGCATTAGAAAAAAGTCTACTTTTAAAATAAGATTGTTGAGCCTATTCAACTTGGCATACATACCTTGAAAATGTACAAAACTGGTAATATCTCAAGCCTCTTTTTTTTTGGTGTTTTATTTCTCTATTACAGAATCTATTTTGTTTTGTTGAATGCTATATATATTCATGTATAAGTCTAGAAATTTTAGTCAACAAATGAACCCAAAAAACCTGGGCCAATTTTTCCACAGGTTTATATGAATATTGCTCTTTCTTTTTTATATATATAAAAAAACACAAAATAAAGAGTTTAGTGTGTTCCAGGAGAACTTAAAAGAAGCTCTGACCCCTTTATTCTCTCTGCCTTGGCACTTTAGTGCATACCTGGTAGGAAAAGGTTGGTGGGGATGGACCATGGTCAGAACTAAGAATAAAATTACTCTTTGACATATCACCACTTCTGGCCTATTTGAATGCCTGGGTGGGAAAAGACTGGCAGTGTCCAGGAGCAGCTGCTTTTCCTCTCTGACAAATGACCTTGATTTATTCATGGGCCATAATTTTGTCCCCTAAACCCTCCCTCAATTTAAACATGAGGTCAACATATACATGGGTATATACCATACTATATGTGTATAAAATAAAATAAAAATCTTCCTGATGATTTATTGTAATCTATTGGCTGTAATTGCAATGGCTTGCTATCCACACCACTTTTTGTTTATGCTTACAATGTTTCATGATACAGAGGTCACAAAAATGCATATAGTGTCTTTCATCTGGTCTCATGGCAAAGTGAAGTCATCTTTCATAGAAAACTGAATTTATATTATGTGCACTGAAATCTTTTTAAATAATTCAGTGTTCAGATGTGCATTACTGTCCATAATTAAGGATGTTTCTATCCACTTCAGTTTAATGTGAATGTGATTAAAAATTGCTTTTTTCATCAGGCTTGGGATATTTGCCTGGATGTAGGTTTTTTTTATTGTTGTTTTTTGGAAGGATGATAAAAGCAATGCATTTGAAGACAGTCCTAGTCCTGATTAGTTACCACCTAGAGAAATACCATATTTTTTTCAATTGTAAGACACCATTGATTGTAAGATGCATCCTAATTTCAGTAACAACTCCACCAACAAAAAATACATAAGATACACCTGCGATTCTAAGATTTACCCAATTTTAGAGAGGGTTATTTAAGGGAAAAAAGTGTGTTGCAGAACAGCAAAAAATACAGTACCATCACTGAAGTGTGAGACAGCTGTGATGATGGAGCTTTATTGTCAGAGCTAAGTCCCCCAAAAACTTACCTTAGCTTTCAAGTAGGCCCACTAACATAGAGATTTTCCAGGTAAATATCACCTTACTTTAGGAAGTGGAAATATGTTTTTCACTCGCTGTTGCAATCCACAGTACCACAGAAATGTCTTTCGACAGGCTGTTTGATTTCTAAGGTAAGTTTTTATGCGCTTTTATGATGGTGCATTGGTGAAATGATCATAAGCACAGATTCCAAAATTTTACAGTGTCTTACACCACTGTAAATATTGAACAGGACCACAGCAATTGATTATGAAGGTCTTCAAAAACTGGGCAAAATATTTTATTACATGTACCAACATATGATGAAAATGAAGGCGATGAGGAGTTTTTCCTTGAACGTTTTCAAAAGTTCTAGATAAGCAATAATAATTGTCAAGGATGACTTTATTTTTTTATTTATAGTATATATACCCCGAAGGAGACTAAAAGTGACTTTTACAGAATACACACATAAAGCAAACATTCAATGCCAATTATACTATGATTGATTCTATGATTCTATACACTTAACAAGGACGGAAAAAAAAAACAGAGGTAAAGGCAGTTTTTTCCTATCTTATTTCTGACATCTTGAAGGCTGTGCTCAACTTCAGCCACTGAGGGTGCTGTTGCTCCATCTTCCATGCCAAGGAGCTTTCTTCTGATCGATTGATGCCCTTAAGGAAGATTTTATTTATGTATTTATTTATTTATTATATTTATATCCCTCCTTTCTCAACCCCGAAGGGGACTCAAGTTGGCTTACAGCAGAGGCAATAATTCAATGCCTTAAAACAATTCAAAAATAAATAAACATTCAGTTACAAATCCAAACAAGATTAAAAGCAATTAAAATATAAACATTACCACTTAACTGCTATGAGATCACATTATCCATGATCAAGGTTTATTAACTCCTTATATATCTACTCACATTTCTGCTTTTGACCTTCTAGGTGGGCAGGTGAGCTCGGACTAACGGTGGGTGTTCACCCTGACCTGAGATTGAACTGCTGACCTCTTAGTTGGAAGGATGTTTCTGCAACACAGCAGTTTAGCCTGTTAACCCCAGTCCCTATAATCTTGATTATATGACAAAATATTTCATCCGATTATCCTAGCTGGCATTTACTAAACCTCAATTGAAATCAAGGGTAGTTTCTGGAAAGCATTCAAAAATTCTCGGTAAGCAATATCAGAACTGATCCCATAATGACATTTATTTTAACATGTGTACTCAGGTCATTGGACATATTTTGGTAACTAAAGTAACCCAATCTATCTGTCTTCTAGACTATCAACAAAAGAAATACCTACATGAAGAATCAGTCTACAACAATGGAGTTTATACTGGTTGGTTTAACAAATTCAGCTGAACTACAGACACTTCTCTTTTGGATATTTACATTTATATATGCTATAGCCTTGACTGTTAACTGCTTTCTCATCTTTACCATATGCAACTGCAGAAACCTTCACACCCCCATGTATTTCCTGCTCATCAACTTGTCTTTAGTAAATATATTCTCTATTTCAGTTACAACTCCTAAACTGCTCCAGGCTCTTTGGACCCGGAGAAAGATAATATCATTTTATGGCTGTGTTACACAAGTGTTTCTTTTTATATGGACTTTGGGGACAGAACTTTCTCTTCTTTCATTCATGGCTTTTGACCGTTATGCTGCTATCTGTCATCCTTTGCAATATGCACTGATCATGCGGAAGGAAGCATGTGTTTGCATAGCAGCAGGTGCATGGCTTGTTGGAATGGTTAACTCTGCAGTCCATGCTGGACTCATGCTGAAGCTTTCCTTCCATGATTCAAATATAATCAACCATTTCTTTTGTGATGTGCCACCACTTTTAAAGCTTGCATCCTCAGACACCAGCATCAATGAGAGCATGGCTTTTATGGCAGATGTCATATTTGGGATCTTTAATTGTGGTTTGACTCTAATGTCATATTTCTTCATCATGAGAACCATCTTCAGAATTCGTTCTACTGAAGGGAAGAAGAAAGCTTTCTCCACATGTTCCTCACATCTGGTTGTTGTCAGTTTTTACTTCTCCTCGGTCATTTACACATATATTAGGCCCTCATCTGTCTACACTTTAGATAAAGACAAATGGGTTTCTCTCCTATATACTGTTGTAACTCCAGTGCTTAATCCAATGATATATTCTCTGAGAAACAAAGAAGTTAAAAAAGCCCTTAAGACATTTGTTGGAAAAAACGTTCTGATTCCGGGGCCTCAAGCTTGAGTTGTAAATATTTTAATAATAATAATAATAATAATAATAATAATCATCATCATCATCATTAATATCCTGCCTCTCTCCCCTAAGAGAATCGGAATGACTTACAACAAGGCAAAGCAATACAAAATAACAATAAATACACAATACAGTAAAATTAAGACAATAAATAGAACATAACATAATAGGGGAAAAAAACAGATATCAGGGCTCATACAGGTTTATAGGAGGAGACGTGGTCACATGAATAGGCTGGACCTGAATCATGTAGGGTTTTGGAAGTAATAACTTGCACTTTGAATTGGGTCCAGAAACACATAGCCAGTGGAGCTGTTTTAACAGGTGGATTAAAACAGCTCCAGGTGTGCTCCCTGTAATTGGCTGCTGTTAATAGTCTGGCTGCTGATTTTTGTAACAATTGTAGTTACACATCTAGAGGAACTAAAATGATCACCTGCTTAAAACCAAGCATTGATTTGGTGATCATTGAAACAAACAAACAAAGAACTATGTACTTTTGAGGTACGGGCCAACTGCGACCGTACCTCGAAAAGCCAGACCTGGCCACAGTATTCCTTGTCTTACATCTCAGATGGATAACTGCAATGCACTCTATGTGGGGCTGCCTCTGAAGATTTTTTTCTCATTGTGTTTCTTACATGCACACACACACACACACACACACACACACACACACAAAGAATAAAAGTGGGAGGAAAAAGCTTCCTGATGACTTAGGACATCAGAATACTGCTCAAAATCTCACTATTCTATTGGATGTATCAATTGTTGTGTAACCCTTATTTTTAATCTGGGAAAGAACCCCCCCCCCCCGGTTTCCTTGTTCATCATTTTTTCATGAGGAGAGGCTTGAAAAAGTGACAGTCCGGCTCTTGTCCGGTGTGTCTAAAGCCAAGACAGAGGCAGTCTTTGGGAACTTTTGATATGATTCTGAGCTCAATTCAAGGTGCTGTTTTTGACCTCACAAATTCCCAAATGGGTTGGGGCAGGATAGTGAAAACTATCATCTTCTGTATTTTTTTTTTTTATTGTTTTTTATAAATTTCTTTTTGTCTATACATTGAAAGAGTGGGAACAATATACTGGATAGAAAGGGTGGGAAACGGAAAGATAAAGGGAGGCAAGCCAAAAAGGCTTACGTTGTGAGTGAGGGAGAGGAGGGAGGGGGGGAGGAGGGGAGGAGGGTCCGAAGGTAAGGGGGGAAGGATGAGGGAGGGGGAGTGAAGTACTTCTGACTTCCGTTCAGTCTGCAGGGAAGGTTCACTTTGACTGTGTATTTTCTTTCTCCTTCACCTATATTCCTAGTTTTGCTTTCGTTGTAGCACCTTATATATCTAGTTTAACTTGTGTCTTAAGAAACTCTTCCAAGCACTTCCAGTTAGTTCGTTTGGTTTTGTCATCTTGTCCTAAGGCTTGTGATAGTTTATCTAAGTTCTTAAAGTCCATGATCTTTCCAATCCATTCCTCACTGGTAGGAGTTTCTTCAGTTTTCCATTTTTTTGCAATCAAGATTCTTGCTGCTGCGGCTAGGTAAAGAAATATTCTTTCTTGGTCCTTATTAAATTTTGTAGTCATTATATTTAAAAGATAGAGTTCAGGTTTCATGTCAAATTTTGTGTGTGTTATATTTTGAGTATGTTTATGGACCATTTGCCAGAATTTTCTAATTTCTCTGCAAAGCCAGAATTGATGGTAATAAGTTCCAATTTCTTTTTTGCATTTCCAACATAATCCATCGTTCTTTTTGCTGAATTTGGCTAAGTGGGCTGGTGTTAAGTGCCATCTATAGAAGATCTTATACCAGTTCTCAGTTATATTAGTAGCTTTTGTAAATTTTGCTTTGTTTCTCCAAGTATGTTCCCAGTCGCTAAGTGATATTGAGTGGCCAATATCTTTAGCCCATTTGATCATGTTTCCCTTTATCAGTTCCTTTTCATTTTTCCATTCAAGCAATATCTTGTACAGCATTTTAATTAGCTTTTTATCTTTTTTCATGATAATGTCCCAACACGTATCTGTTTCATTGAAACCAGTTTTTCGATCGGTCTTGAAATGTTCTTTGATTTGTAGGTAATGGAGCCAAGTCATTCCACTGTCTATTTCCTTCAGGTCTTCTAGGGATCTTATTTGCCACTCCCCATTGGTCTTTGTGAGTAGCTGCTTATAGTTGATCCACTTATTTCTGGGTATTTCCCTCTTGTGGTATGCCTCCACTGGTGATATCCAAGTAGGCGTTTCTTTTATAAAAGAAGTTTTTATATTTGTTCCATGTTTTTAATAAAGAGGATCTTATATAATGGTTTGTGAAATTTCTTTCAATGCTTGCTTTTTCATACCATAGGTATGCGTGCCATCCCCTTCTGATGTTGAACCCTTCAAGAGTTAAGATTTTTTTCTGGTCAAGGGTGGCCCAGGTTTTTGTCCATGATAGGACAGACGCTTCATAATAGATTTGTAAATCCGGTAACGCTAATCCTCCTCTTTGCTTTGCGTCCATAAGGTTCTGAGATTTAATTCTATGTTTCTTCCCATCCCAGATGAAGTTTAGAATGTCTTTGTTCCATTTCTTAAAACATAAGCCAGATTTTATAATTGGGATCATTTGGAACAAGAATATTAATTTTGGCAGCACACTCATTTTGATCGCTGCTATTTTCCCAAGTAGAGATAGACTAAGGTATTTCCAGCTTTTTAGTTTCTTTTTGACCTCTTCCCAAGCTTTTTCATAATTTTCTTTGAAAAGATGTCTGTTGGATGGGGAGATCGCAATACCTAGATATTTGATTTTTTTTGCTATTTCTATTCCTGTGTCGTTGTAAATTTTATCTTTCCCTTCCTTATTCACATTTTTTGTTAGCATTTTGGTTTTATTTCTATTTATTTTCAGACCTGCCAGCTTACCAAAGCTTTCTATCTTATCTATCCATTTGGTGGTATTATACGTCGGGTTATCTATTATGCATACTAGGTCATCGGCGAAGGCCAAGACCTTGTAGTCTTCCGACTGGATCTTCAGGCCTTTAAGGTCTTTATCTTCCCTGAGTCCATCTAGTAAGATTTCCAGCACCAATATAAATAATAGAGGAGAAAGGGGACAGCCCTGTCTCACCCCTTTCTGAATTTTTATCCTGTCCGATTGCAAGCCATTAACTATTATCGCCGCCGTTTGTTTTGCATGGATAGCTCTTATAGCGTTTTGAATGGCATATCCAATGTCCATTTCTATTAGTACCGCTGAGATAAAGTCCCAGTTCGTGCGGTCAAAGGCCTTTTCCGCGTCTAAGAACAGTAAACCTATGTTTTTTTGTGGGTTTTTCTCACATAATTCAATAATGTCAATCACTATTCTAATGTTGTCCCTCATTTGCCTATTTGGAAGAAATCCTCTTTGGTCTTCTTTTATTCTCTCTTGTAGTAGTTTCTTAAACCTCTCTGCCAATAGGCTTGTAAAGATTTTATAATCATAGTTTAGGAGGGAAATGGGTCGGTAGTTTTTTAGATTTGTGGGTTCTGTTTTTTCTTTGTGAATAAGTGTTATGTTCGCTTCATGCCATGTCTCTGGCATTTCACCTCCTTCCATAATATTGTTCATTATCTCTTTTAATTGGGTGATTATTTCTTCTTTGAAGACCTTATAATAATAGGCTGTAAGACCGTCTGGACCTGGGGTCTTGTTGGTCGCCAGTTTGTTTATACATTTTAACACTTCCTCTTCATCTATCGGTTTGTTCATGTACTCCCTTTCCATATCGGAGATTCTTGAAATATTTTGTTTGGAGAGGAATGCTGTTATATCTTCTTTAGATGTCGTATCCTAAACCAAATCAAATTACCTATACAAAAGCATCACAAACAAGAAGAACTATTCATAATGGAGAAGAACGTTACTACTAAACTAATGAAAGGAACGTCAGCTAGAAGACACTCTTTTCAGGGGGAACCCACACTTAGAGATCCTAGGGAACCTACTGCCACACCTAAAGAACCCACAGCCAAGGACATCATGGCTGAACTAATCAAGATAGCAGAAACACAAGAAAAAATGCAAGAAGCTCAGGAGAAAATACAAAAATCCCAAGAGAAATTGGAAAAATTGGAAACTAAACTTCAAAAAATGATTAAAGAGGAGATGGGGAAAGTGAGAGAGGAAATTAAGGAAGAGATAACAAACATCAAAATAGGCATGAACTCAATCCAAAAAGAGGTTAACGATATGAAAAAGGACAATGAATTACAGAAAAAATCGACGGATAAGGCGAATAAAAGAATGGACAAAATAGAAGAACTAACATCCAAAATGAAGAGAATACAGGATACAACGGAAATGAGGGAGGCAGAACACCAAATCAGGATCAGGAACATTGAAGAAAGAGAACAAGACAACATAAGAAATATAGTGACAGAAATAACAGCCAAGCTACTAGAGACAACTTGTGAAGAGATGGACAAGAATATTGATCGGGTATACCGAGTACAAACGACCTATGCCAAGAAGAACGGCACTCCACGTGACACTGTAGTGCATCTATCAAGGAAGTGTATAAGAGACCAAATCCTAGCCAAAAACACCAAAGAATTGTCAACATACAAAGGAAAGAAGGTGACGATACTAAAAGAGGTACCATCATTCGTGATGAGTAAAAGAAAGCAATATTATTTTTTAACAGACGAATTAAAAAAACAACAAATTAAATTCCGCTGGGAGAAATATGAAGGAGTAATGGTCACGTATGGAGATGAAAAATACTGGATCACATCAGTTGACAAAGCAAAAAATTTCTACAGGAAAATTAGAAAAAAAGAAGAAGAACTCAGTCGAGATAAGAGACACCAAGAAAAGGGAGCGACCTCCAAAGATTACAAGGAAACAGAGGAGGAAGAAGTGGAGTTAACAGGAATGTCCGATCCAATTAATGATAGAGGAAAAGGTGAAAAGAGAGCTAGACAAACGTCCCCAGAAGATTACGTCAAACAATTGTATAAAAACAAAGGCACAAAGGACTTAATTGATATAATACCTGATGAGGAAAATAAGAATAGTATCTAATAATGTGAATGGGCTTAACAGCCCCAATAAAAAGAAATTGATATACAACCAACTTAAAAGTCTGAGATGTGATTTAATTGCACTCCAAGAAACGCATATAATGCAAAAACATGTAGCACACCTTGAAAATAAACAATTAGGGAAACTATTCTACTCATGTTCACCAAAAAAGAAAAAAGGAGTCGCAATGTATATAAAAGACCATTTCAACCCAGAGTTAGCCTTCAGAGATGAAGAAGGTAGAGTAGTCGCGGCCAAACTCAAAGTAGGGGACTACGATATCCTAATTTGCAACATCTACGCCCCAAACGGAACCAAAACTTCCTTTGTAAACCAGCTAAGGAAGAAACTAACAGAACATGCATGTAACAACATAATAATAATAGGTGATTTTAATGGGGTAGTAGACGGTAAAATGGATAAAACAAAAAAAAAAGGAAGAGGGGGAGACCCCAAAGGGGGGAGACTCCCACTAAGCCTCTTAAATTTGCGACAAGAATTCCAATTAAAAGATATTTGGAGAATAAAAAACCCTGAAATGAAAGACTACACTTTTTACTCCAATAGGCATGACACATGGTCCAGGATCGACATGTGTTGGGCGACTAATAGCCTAACAGTCAAAACTACTAAAGCTGAAATACTCCCAATGACACATACGGACCATTGCCCACTAAAAATTGACATTCAGCTAAATCATCATCACAGAATATGGAGACTAGACGACTCAATAATAAAATCAGAGGAAGATATAAAGCTCAACAAAAAAATATTACAAGAGTTCTTTGACAACAACCTCAATAAAGGAACTAAATTAGAGACAGTTTGGGAAACAAGCAAAGTATTCATTCGAGGCCATTTCATACAGCAGAGAGCCATAAGAAACAGGAAAAGAAGAGAAAAAGTAACAGAACTGGAACAAAAACTGAAAGAAAAAGAAGACATACTCAAAAAAAGATTAGGAAACAAAAAAATAAAATTGGAGATAGAGATGATCAAAAAGGTAATCGAATCAACACAAATAGAAGAAATGGCAAAAAAAATGAATTACCTTAGGGCGCAACATTTCGCGACTGCAAATAAACCAGGGAAGTACCTAGCAAAAAAACTAGTTAAGAGAAGACAACAAAGATTTATAACCCAAATCAAGGAAGGAAATAAAAATTATACCAAAGAGAAGGAGATTGTAGAACAATTCAGGAAATTCTATCAAGAGCTTTACAACTATCATCTTCTGTATATTAGGGTTGTTGTTGTTGCTGCCGCTGCCACTGCTGCTGCTGCTGCTGCTGCTGCTGTTGTTGTATGGCAACCTTACAATAGGGTTTATTTGGTAGGGTTTCTTCATGGGAGACTTGGCATTGCCATCTTCTGAAACAAAGCAAGTTTTACTGGCTCAAGGTCACCCAGTGGGTTTCTATGGTTGAGCAGGGATTCTAACCTTGTTACTAGGGCTGGGCGGTTTCATTTCGTTAATTCGTAATTCGTTAATAATTCGTTAATTTTTTCAATTACAAAACGATAACGAACCATTCTGGAGCAATTATTAAAAAAATGAATTTTCAAAAACGTTTTGTAAATGCTTCGTATTTCGATATTGTATTCATTTCGTTATTGTTTTGAGGTCGTTTCGTTATTATTTCCGCATGTCTGGGCCAGTTTTATGGTTTAATTAGTGAAAAAAAATTATAATATCACACCAACAGTCAACAACAGAGGGAGAGGGAAGCTTCAGAAGGTTTTGGAGGTTTTTTGGCATATTTCGCGGTCGCGTCCGCCATTAACGAATCGATTCGTTATTGTTTCGGAAATCGATTCGTTAAATTTTTTACCATTTACGAAATTTCGTAAATATCGAACTTTTTAAAAGGAAAATTTTGTAATTATTTTAAATATTGAAACAAAAAAAAACCCCAAATACAAATCGATTTTAGAAACAAATTTTTCCGTTGTTACCCAGGCCTACTTGTTACCCTACAGTCACACAAAAACTGTAATGGCTCTTCAACCATTTGAGAATGCCTGAAATTTAGGAACTACACACATCCAGAAATAATTCTTATTGAATGCTGTTTAACTAAGTAGAAACACAACTATCCCTTGGATAACACAATGAAAATTAAAATAATTTATAAATCAATGGATTTTGTCTGGTGTTTATGAAAATGAACATTAAGCTTGAATTTTGAAAATGTGCCAGCTGTTGTACTGGTACAAACTTTTTCTTCACCAGTATGATGAAAAATCATTATCTTCCTCACAATACCTCAGAGGTGCTTTTCCCAGCTGAACAGCTTAGAAAGATTTCTAAACTGTATAGTACATTTCCCCAAAACAAGGTGTATCAACAAAAGGATCAGAGAAATTATCCTAACTATCTTACTGATGAAAAAGCATTATTCTTATAATTTGCCAGAGCAGAAAATCATTTTAATCCACAAGAAATAATCTATTAAATCAGTAAGAAGGCACCACATTATAATAGGAATGCAGGTAAATATTTCAGTCTTCCTCTTCCACTCCTGTGTTGCTTTAACATCTTTTATAATATATACACACACAGTTAACCATGAATTCAATATTGGGTGATTTCTGGTTATGTGGAATTGTTGTTATTGTTATTATTGAAAAAACTGAGAGTAAGCCAAAGAAGAGAAGTTTTCAAAGGGTTTCATAAGATAATGAGATCAAGCCAAAACCTTATGTCTCCCATTCTCATCTCTGTTTTTCATTAGATATTAAAAAAAATACTTTCCATCAATAGATAATTTCAGGCTGTCATAAATTCTACTTACTGAGGAACAGTCAAAATTCTCTCTCTCTCTCTCTCTTTCTCTGTCATACACAGAGTGGTCTCTATTAAATCTGTTGATAGCTTCATTGGCTTGCTTTCCATAGGGGACAATCTTTGTTAGCTGTGCCATGTTCTTTATCTCCTTCACATTCCAGTGAAGTATCGTTCTACTGAGAGTCCCTAACTATTAATCCTATGAAAACTACATGTTTTAGGGACCTCAGCTATATTTTTGGAGAGTCATATACTGTAAGATGAATGCTTATGCATTTCTTCTTGTTGATTGTTCATTCACAGGGTTGTCATGAGGTATTTATTTATCATATCAGAAGCAAACAGAGGGTACAGTTGTAATGTTTTTAAAAACACCAACAAATATTACTACTTCCTTGTTTGTTTCATATTGATATTTGCTTGTTTGTTTGTGCCATGAGGTAGATAACTGGAAGTTCATGTAATAGTTTGTGCTTAACTGATTGTGTGAGATAGCTGTGTCTGGTAGATTCTCTGCATTTCCTCCCCCTAGCATTATACAACATATAGCTTCCTCCTGCAGTAGTGGTCTACATTTCCATGTTATCTATCAGTGTGCCTCTCTCCTCTTAGACGTTCAACATGACAAGAAAGCAGTGATATTTGCCCTAGGATACTGTGTGTTTATCTTGTACACCTCAAAAGTAGTATTATCATTAGTCTCTAAGGTCACAAGGATAGCAACAAGTAGGATTATGATAGTTTATTTTTCATGTACCTCTTTTTTAATGTATTTATCTTGAATTTTCATATGGGAGATATGCTGTGCCTCTAAGATACATCTGGGAAATATGAAAAAAATGTAATCACCAGATGACCAGTCTGACTTTGAAAATATGATATCACACACAAATATTACTTGTCTTTAAAATAAAGAGGGTAAAAATTCACAGCATCTCAGGGACAGAGATGATACCAAAATGTAATATAACAGTAATTTGAAATGTAAGAATTTTTGCATACTAATAGAAATAGTTGACACTTTAGAGCACTGTGCTGGCATTCCATTTGTGTAGAATATCTTCAGCTATTGTTGCATTTTCTTGATCTTAATCAGGCCGGGGGGGGGGGGGGTGAGTTATGATGTTATGTTGGTTGTTATTGCTTTTGTGTTGTTGTCTATGCACTTGTTTTATTTTGTGTGTTCACACCTTTGAGCGCTTTGTGAGCTGCCCTAAGTTTCTTTGGGAGATGGTGGCAGAGTGAAGAAGAAGAAGAAGAAGAAGAAGACCACATAATTTAGAAATATGGCTTCATGAGCACTATGTAGAACCTTGATTTTCTAGGTTTTCACATTGTATGGAGAACTTTTTAAAAATGAGAATGTTTCACACTTGCATACAATTTATGCAATGTGCCAAAGATGGTAGTGGATTGGAGAGAGACTAATTATTTTATGTGTTGGTTCTACATCCAAACAGATTGACTGTGTAGGGTATAAGATGTATGTATAGGAAAGAAAAAAGAAAGTGTGGCAGTGCGCACAAGGCATGAACAGAGGAACATAGGTAAGAACAATGATTTGTAAATGAAAGGTTGGGAGGGTTGCCTAGTAAACTAGAATTCTAGAACTTCCTACAGACAAGGAATTGCTTTCAGGCAGTGAGAAAGGAAAGCAACTATACCAGCACTACAGCCAACAGCAAGAACAACAGCCAGGTATGATGCCTAACTTGATTGACTAAATCAGAGAAGAAAGGGCTACAAAATAATTTCCTTCTTTTGAATGAACAGAAATGCCAGAAGACCTTTGCTTTCAATGAAGAAACCAAGATTTTAAGCATTTCTAAGTGCAAAGAATGAAGTGGATTGTATGAAAAGATTAAGACCAGAGGTCAGCCAGTTGTGGTCTTTCATGTATTGTTGGACTGAAATTGCTAATAGATTTCGCCATTAGGTTTACTAGATTTTAATAGATCTGAAGTGTGTTTTGGACCTTATTTAATTGGGTTTGTAAGTTCTTTTAAATGAATTTGACTTGGTTATTCTCTTTATTACCTTGCAAGGAAATATGTGGAATGTCAGTTAAAGTGTTATTTGGCCCATTGGCAAACTGAAGGACTATATCTAGAAATACAATAAAAAGCTTAGCTCATTTATGTATTACTCAGATTGTATCTTGTAGGACAGGGCAGTACACTATTCAAAATGACACATAGTGCAACATTTGAAACTAGATAAATGTGCTGACTGACTCCCAGAAAAGTATTCAGATAATGGATATTTTTGTCTACTTGTGTTCTTTTTTGTTTTGTCTTTACTGTTGATATGGTCAGTGGACTAATCAATAAACATCTTTTTTATTATTATTCAGATAATGGGATACATCTACATTTTAGAATTAATGCAATTTGGCACCACTTTAACTTTCATGGCTCAATGCTGTGGAATCGTAAGTTGTAGTTTTATAAGTTCTTTCACCTTCTCTGTTAAAGAGTTCTGGTGCCTTACCAAAAGACAAATACCAGGATTCCTTATCATTGATCTATTTCAGTTACAGAGGTCTTAAACTGCATTGATTCTACAGTACAGACTTACAGTGGAGACATATCAAATATTGGAAAAAGCCAGGCTCCTCTCAAAATGTTGACATTAACTAACAAAAGATTAATCAAGGGAGAAATTGGGCTATGTATTCAAATAACTTAGGACTTAATGACCAAAATAAAGGTCAGTCTTATATCCCAGAATATCAAGGCAGAAAATCCCACAATATCTACTTTGAACTGGGTTATCTGAGTCCAAACTGAGCCTGCCAAGCACCATCAGATGATACATGGCAGGCCCCACCCACATTCCTCCTAAAGTGGAGGGAAAGATGCTTCTTCCTCCATCATGGGGAAGAAAGTGTCCTTTTGGTAGCTCTAATGGAGCTACCCACACTTTTTCTCACTTTTCCCTGGCATTGGCATTGCCACCCTTTCATGGCATTACCACCCTTTCTCCCATCTGTATGATGGCATTATTGCCCTTTCTCCTAATCTCCTGGGGACAGGGACGGGGTGCCAATGCACCCCACCATATGATGGGGGAAGGAGGGAGGGTGCACTGGCAAAACTGCATGGCTTGAAAAGGCCATGTGAAGAGGTCTTAAATGTATCTGGAATCAAAAGCAATTTGTTATATCATGTGGCACCTTCAAGGAATACATCTTGCTGGTGAAATGAATTTTCATAAACTATGGTCTACTTATAGTGATAGAATGGGATATAGTATATGAAATATATGAAGTCTTGAAGATACGTTAAATCAAAAGCAAACTGTGGCCATCAAGCTAAATGATTTGATTTTATGGTTAGAGATATGAGACATTTCTCTGAAAGTACATATATTCAGTTGTATCCATAGGTGTCAATTCTATTCTGCAAATGCAAATTTGTCCTTATTCGTTATTACTTAATTAGTGCTTGTTGCAGTATTAATTTACTGAGTGATGATTCTTCTCCTATCAATTGAGATTATCTCTACATGCATTTGTTTTGTTTTGTTTGTCCAGGTCTACAGTCACATAATATTGGAAATGAAGAATCATTCTGTTATTACAGAGTTCATCCTTGTAGGACTTTCCAGTTCACCTGAACATCAGATTATTCTCTTCTGGTTATTCTCTCTCATTTATGCTGTGGCTATAATCAGTAACATCCTCACCATCCTCGCAATCGGCACTTGCAGCAAACTCCACACACCAATGTACTTCTTGCTCATCAATTTATCTATAATAAACATTTGCTCAATTTCTGTTACAGTTCCCAAAATGTTACAAACCATTTTAGCTGAAAGAAAAAGCATTACCTTTCCTGGTTGCAGTGCACAGGTGTATGTTTTCACCTTAATGCTAGGTACTGAACTTATGCTCCTGGCATTCATGGCTTTTGACCGCTATGCTGCTATTTGCCACCCTTTCCAGTACATGGTCATTATGAGGAAGGAGTTTTGCCTTGGAACTGTAGCAGGTCTGTGGCTCATAGGCATGGCTAATTCTGCAATTCAGACAGGACTTGTGGCACGGCTTTCCTTCTGTGACTCCAACATCATCAACCATTTTTTCTGTGAGCTTTCACCCATGTTCAACATCTCCTGTTCAGACACAAGTTCGAATGAAACAATGGTTTTCACTGCTTCTGTGATCATTTTAATAGGTAGCTGTGCTCTGACACTAACTTCGTATTGCTTTATTGTGAGAGATATTATAAAAATTCGTTCCACAGAAAGTAAGAGAAAAGCTTTTTCTACATGCTCTTCCCATCTCTTGGTAGTCAGCTTATATTATTCGACAATAATCTATACTTTCCTCTGGCCTGCTTCATCTTACTCCCTGGAAGAAGACAAAGTTATTGCTATTATTTATTCGGTGCTGACTCCAGTCCTCAACCCATTCATTTACTCTTTGAGGAACACTGATGTTAAAGAGGTACTCATAAAGCTGATAGTCAAAAGGGTCTCCCAGAAAGATTAGTTATCTTCCTCTGATTGAACAATGCATAGTGATTGAATCATGTGCATATTGCAATTCAATTTCCATTCAAAAAGCAAAGCCATGTTTCTGAAATGTTGTATATTGGAAAAGTAAAACAGAATTATAGTTAGACATTCACATTGGCATTAATTTGGCAATACAATGTATGATTTAGGGTACATCTACACCACAGAATAAATGGAATTTGATATCTCTTCACTACTGTGGCTCAATGCCATTACATGGAACAGGAGTTATTTATTTATCCTGGGAGGTGTAGCTTTACAAAGTCTTTAGATTTCTCTGCTAAAGAGTGTTGATGCCTCACCAGATTACAACTCATGTGATTTCATACATGGAGCTATGGCAGTGAAGTCTTTTAAAGTTTCCTCTTTTTTTTTTTTTGGAAATACTGGCAGTACAACATTGAGAGATATTGTATTTGAGTAGCAAACATATCATAATATTTCTAATCATTATAGTAGGGAATAGGGAGGATGTCTGAAGAATGATATGATCATAACATTCTATGGAAAGCTGCTCTGCAAGACTTAAAAGACAATCCAGGCAAATCTTTCCTTTGAATCAGAAGTTGTCAGTTCTTAAAAGTTTCTAATATGTTTGCTCACATACTTGAATCCTAGTTAAGGAACCACTGAATTGCTTGTATGGTATTCTGATAATGTATTATTTATTAATTAATTGTACAATTCTTTGTCTATATTGTAAGGATAAGCTATGCTGTGGAGTCCTTACATCTAAATAAATAAATGAAGAAACAAAGCATGTTATTAATAAATTAACTGGACGTTTCTGCATATAGGATGTTTAGATTTTAATTTTAAAAAGAAGATGTAATATAGCTAGGAATACAGGAGAAAATGTTTAGACTATTGAGCAGTCATCATCCATTTTCATATACTGTGTTAAAAATGCTTCAGATTACATGTTTTTGAATGTCGCGATGCTTAAAAACCGTTCCAAAAAGCATACATGACTGCAAAGCCTGATATAAAATGTATTCATCTATACATATTTTTAAGAAAATGTGTTTTAAAATATTAACAAATTTTAGTATCAATGTTTGTTTGTTTTTTTAAATCACAAATCAATGGAATGTAAAGACACCAGTGAAAAAAGCAACAATTTCCTTGGAATGATTAGAAAGAAATTAAAATAGCCTGAATATTGGCCCCAGTAAGAACCCCATTGTAATCTATGAAATAACTTCACAGTGCTCTTCAAATTAGTGGATTTGTCAGCCTTAGTGGAGGCATCACATTTGCATTTGTTATACCTTTCCTGCCACCCTATGTCCAGAATAGTTTTGTTGTTTTTTTTTGTTGTGTCAGGAGTGACTTGAGAAACTGCAAGTCACTTCTGGTGTGAGAGAATTGGCCGTCTGCAAGGACGTTGCCCAGGGGACGCCCAGATAATTTTTTTGATTTTTTTATCATCCTTGTGGGAGGCTTCTCTCATGTCCCCGCATGAGGAGCTGGAGCTGATAGAGGGAGCTCATCCACCTCTCCCCGGATTCGAACCTGCGACCTGTTGGTCTTCAGTTCTGCCGGCACAGGAGTTTAACCCACTGCGCCACCGGGGATTGAATTATTACTTTTCTTGGAGTCATTAGCCTTCTGCTTGGTCATGCAGGCCAGACACCTTCCCCAATTTGTTAATGCTGGGTTAAACTTGTTTAACCTTGTTTACCCTACATTGAGAACAAGAAGACCTTTTACGTCCTTTGGATATCCAGCAGTGATGTCTGGTCCACTTTAGGGAATAGGGCAGGCATGGGCAAACTAAGACCCAGGTGGCAGATGCGACCTCCTGAATGCTTTCCTTGGGCCCTTCTCATTTTCTGTATCCTCTCAACATAAGTACATGGTGGTCCACTGCATCCTTATGCAGAAAGGACAGGAGGGGAAGGCCTCTGAAGTGCCTCTGAAGTGCTCTCAGGTGCCCTCTGAAGTGCTCTCAGCCACCACATGTCTTGCTCTCATCCTGGCAAAAGGACAGGGTGAATAGTCCTGTCCTTATGCCGAGAGGACAGGCCAAGGAAGGCATGCAGCAGCTAAGAGCCCTCCAGAGTGCTCTTGACTTTTACCTGCCTCGTCCTCCTCCTGGCAGTCCAAAGATCAGGGGAGGAGGATCAGGGAGGAGGATTGGGGCAGTTGCTGCATGTCTTGTTTTTCTCCCAACATAAAGATGAGGTGAGCTGCCCCATCCTTATGCCAGGAGGACCACCTAAGGATGACCCGGGCCCTGCCCCACCTCCTCCCAGACCTGCCCCTTCCTAGACCTGTCCCACCCAGCACGTGCCCAGCCACGTCCCTCCCCCCCCCGGCCCGACTCTCTCTTGGTTGGGCCCACAATGCTGCCCCAAGGCAAAAAAGTTTGTCCATGCCTGGCATAGGGTCAGTGTAAATAAGCTCTAAAATGTGTCTTTGTGTGTTTTATTATTAATTTTTCTTTAAAATGTGTATTTGTTGAACATCAATATTCTCGTGAGTGTTCTTGAAAACTTATCTTTGGCTCATGGAGTTTGTCTGAAATCTGGGATATGGTAGTGGAAGTGGAAAACAGTATTTACCTTCTCTGTTAAAGAGTGCTGGTGACTCATCAAACTATCATTCCCATGATTCTATAGCCTTGAAACATAGCAGTTAAAGTGGTGTCAAACTGCAATAATGCTATAGTGTAGGTGCACTCTCATTGCCACTTTCTACTTGCCAGGTCCTGATTGTAGTTCCTGAATTTATTTTACATTGTTTATTATAAAATCACCAAATCTTAATCTAAAAAACTAATTTGTACTACAAGTATTACTTCTACACTTGATTCAATTATACTAAAAAAACAAACCTTGTAATAACTTAGAATTATTTTAATCTCAAATATTCACTTAACAACATTGATTTTTCCAATGAGTCTTGTAAGTAGAAAGAAGGATTACATTTATCCCCACCCAATTCTGTATTTAATATTCATCATATGTTTGGAATTATTGCCAGGAATAAAGAATAAAATTGTGAATTCTATTTTATTTTTCATTTGTGTGCAACAAACAGGTGGTGTCTTGAATGCAGAATGCAAATATTAGCTTATTTTGGCTTTTCCAGTAGCATAAAGAGCAATAAATATTAGGGCTGGGTGGTTTCGTTCGTTAATTTCGTAATTCGTTAATAATTCGTTATTTTTCTTGAATACGAAGCGATAACAAACCATCCAGGAGCAACTAAAAAACGAAACGAATTTTTAAAGCTATTTTGTAATTGTTTTGTAATTGCTTCGTTATTATTTCAGCTCCCGGGCTGCAAAGGGGCCCGAGCAGGGGCAAGGAGAAGGGAAGGCAGGCGAGAGAGAGAGACTGAGTGAGCAAGCTCCCTTCCCGGCCTGGCTTCCTCCCCTCGCTCCCCTGGCTCCCCCCGCCCCCTTCTTCCCCCTTTTCCTGGCTCACCTGGGCATGCACACCCCACACATGCCCGGCCCGGCGCAGGGGTGGTCCGGCGTGCCCGCTCGGCGGGGCCCTGGCATCCGCCGCCCTGGGAAAGACCCCCGCCCAGCAGCAGCGGCAAGGCTGACGACGCTGCGGTTGCTGACTCCCCCGATTGCCTCCCCCGCCGGGAAAAGGAAACGCAGGAGGAGGCGCAGCAACGAGACGGAGGTGACCGCGCGGGTGGGAGGGAGGGAGAGGGAGGGAGGGATAGAGAGGGGGCGGACTAAAACTATTATTAAAAACTATTATTATTAAAACTATTATTTAAAACTAATATTTTCATGTTGCGCAACCGCGTCCGCCATTTTAACGAATTGATTCGTTAATAATAACGAAATTTCGTAAATACCGAACTTTTAAAAAGGAAAATTTTGTAATTATTTTAAATATCGAAACAAAAAAACCCCCCAAATACAAATCGATTTTAGAAACAAATTTTTGCGTTGTTACCCAGGCCTAATAAATATATCTTCCATAGCTATTCATCTATGAATACAAATAATTCTTGATGGCAAATCTATCAAACATTCCTTCACTGTAAGAGCAACCAATGGCATTTTTAATGGAAGCATTTTTATACACAGGAGAGAAAATTAAATGATCGGAGAGACACACAAGCGGCTCAGTGTTAGATGCTCATGTGGCAACACATATTTTGTTAGCCTTACTCGTCTATGTTCCATTAATGAATCACATTTTTATTTTTAATCATGCTCACTGGGATCACTGTGTAGTTTCCCACTAATGATTCCCATTGGAACCTATTATTTTGGTGTTCATGTGACAGTTTTTAAACTTGTCTTTAATTTCTTGAGAGGGCCAGGAGTATTCTGGGCTTACTGCCAAGCGATAGTCATTAGAAGTGTTATTGCTTGCTTTCACTTAATTAACACTGTACATTTGTAGAATCTATTTTATCAGCTAATTGTGGAAAGAAAGAAAGAAGAATTTTATCAGTAAAGTTTGCATTTGCCTGAACTTTGTCTCCATCTGGCCACAATCATGATTATTGTGGCCAGGTTATTATATCACCTTTGTTAATAGATGGCTGTTTTATTTTTATTTTCTAAATATGTTCTCTGCTTGCCACTGATGCTCACTGAAGTGCATTTTGTAAGCATCATTATTATCCCCAAGGTCTACCTGTTTCAAACACTGACAGATTCATCTACAGTTTCACAGCCCAAAATATGCTCTTTGTACTGAATTAGTGTGTTGTAGTAGTTTGAACATTGAATTATGATACCCAAATACTGGAAGACCACTGCGTGACCTTGGAGACGCCACATTCTCTCAGTCTCAGAGGTAGACACTGGCAAAATCCCTTTGAATAAATCTTAGAATAATAGATTAATGAATCATAGCGTTGAAAGAGACCATAAGGGCCATATAGTCTAACCCAATTCTTCCATGCACAAATTCATAAGCAAAGCACATGACGTATCCAGCTCCATTAAAAAAACACCCAAAGAAGTAAGCATTAGGCTTGGGCAGTTTCGTT